CACAACTGAAGAAGGTACCTCGGCCAGAATGATGCGGAGTAAAAATAGGCGACAGAGTCCTCCCCTCCCACCTCTGGGCGCCCTGCAAGTAGGTATCTTGGTACCTCAGAGCAGACCACCCAAAAAGGATCGCCCGCCCAATGGAGCGCGGCGTACCTGCGCGCGGCGCACCTGAGCTTGCAAGGCTGCCCCCTGTCGTCTCTCGCCAGGCTGCTGCCCACGCAGGGAGTCTTCCAGGCAGGCCGTCCTCTGTCCTGTCCGTCTCTCGGCCCCATTGGAGCCCCCATCTCTTTGGCCCCCCGCCCTCCCCTCGGCCCCCTCCGCCCGTGGTCTGTCCACTGCGGTTCATGAACCGAAATCAACATGCGCGAACGCCTTACAGACTCCCGGACTGCAGATTACGGACCAGGGGGTTCAGTATTCTTTCGTTTCGTCTTGTTTCGTTTCCCTTGCGACTCATTGCCACCAACTCAACGAAATGCCCCCCTCCTCAGGGATGATCAAGCTCGCGGGCGTCTGTTTCTGTTTCTCCCGCGCTATGCGCCTCCCGCGGTTAATCCCAGCGCGCACGCGGAAGGACTCCTCCCTCCACGAGTCGTGTGTCGCCTGGCGACCGGCGCGCAAATGTTGACCGTTGACAGGTTAGACAGAGAACATGGAATGGAGACCTAGAAGGAGCGCAATCCCTGGACTTATCTTGACTCGACAGATTCTGGTCTGGAGTGTCCAGGCAGCCCGCTGGACGATCGACTCTCCGAACATGTATAGGACAGACATGTACAGGCCATTGAGTGTTGTCTACGATACTGTTGTTCACACGTGAGCCGCTCCCGCCGTTCCCGTTGCCTGAGTCCTTATGGCGGCGATCGAGCGACATCGATTCGAGCAAAGCAGAAGGGGAACAGACCAAGTCAGAGGAAGAAGAAGCTACAGGGGCCTGCGGCTGGGCTTGGGGCTGCATGCACGTTTTCCTGAAATGGCACATTTACGGAGCTTTGGGCTGCGCCTCTCCTCGTCTGACACACCATACACGCACACACGCACACACTCGCCCATTTCCACAGCACATTTCCACCCTTCTCTCTCGTCCACTGGCGCGCCTGGGCTAATTATGGCACCGGCTCGGTTCGATCCGCCCTAGTCACTATTGCCCGTCGAATGACCATGGCAACCATGAGCACGAACAAATCGCAGCGTGTGTGTCTGCTGGTTCACCATTGAGCTCGCGCGCACTCTATCTCTCTCTCTCTCTCTCTCTCTCTCTCGCGAGACCGACACCAGCTATGCATTCCCGTCCCTGTCCAGCAGACCCCCTCCACGAAGAATAATGTCAGAGTCGCAACGTCTCCCTCGCTGGTTCCGTCCTATTTCGTCCCTCGCCTTAGAAGGCTGACTTGTACAACCGAGCCTGATGCGTATCTGCCTACCAATCATGGCCCTGACGCTGATCAGAATACGGGAGAGCCCCGTGGCTGGCCCATCCAAGTGGTCGAAGGAGCACGTACCTGGCGTTTTCGAACCAAGGGTTGCCGCCACCCATGTCTACAGCTGACAGGGGCAAAAGCATGACGGGACCGCCTTACAACATGTCCCAAGACCCCTATGTCGTCGGCCGTCTCGACTTCTTCCGTCTTCTCCCCCTCCCTTCCAACCATCTCGATGTAGCAGCGCCCCCATCCCGCCTGGCCATCTTGGTAGCCCGAGTGAGTGACCTCTGTTCCATTGCAGATGGGGCATCTTGAGAACCATCTTCCCACTCACACCAACCCCAACGTCCATCAGTGTTGGAACCGGCTGTGACGAACCCAAGAACCACACGCGCTTGTCCCTCCCACCCCCGTCTGCCTATCTGCCTTCTTTTGCACCTCCCCCCTCAGCCTACCCCCTGATTCTATTCTACGTCTACGCCCCTCTCACCAACCCCAAACTTTGCTCGTCACCTCATGTCTGCGTCGACGGGGGGTTCATCGCAGTCTACATCCGCATATTCTCTTGTCTGCGCCGGGGCTGTGTCACTGCTATCTTCGGCTCCGTTACTACCTCTATGCCTTTACTCCCTGTCTGCTACTAGGCCGTCTTTCTATTTTTCCTTGCTTTCCATTTTCAGAACACACACACACACACATACATACCCACCATGGCGAGCCTGCAGGACATCATGAACGTAGATGAGGACCATCAGTTCCATCCCCAGACCAATAAGAAGGGCACGGTCCCAGCCTCATCCAATGTTCATCAGCAACCATCTGCGGTACCACCAGACTCAGTCACTGCCAGCCTCAAGTATATACCACCAGCCCAACACACTCATACCCTCGACGGCCCTCCAGCCATCACACATTCAGCTTCATCCACCGGATCACCATCCAACACAAGTCAGCCAGCAGCAGATCGTCGCCCGAGCAACACGAGCGTCGACTCTATGGATCCGTCGTTGTATGGTCACGGTCTCTCTGGGTCATCTGGAAGTCTTAACCCCTCGAATACACCAATGCGACCACTCGCAAATATGTTGGCTGGCGCGGAAGCGTCAGTGAAACTGACGCCCATCACCGGTCGAGTCAGTCGAGCAAAGAAGGGCGTACCTGTTCATACATGTGATCAGTGTCGTCCCCCCAAGGTGAGTCGACACGTCTCGCAGGCCGTCACTATGAATGAACCCACGACTGACTTCTCTTCCAGACGTTCACAAAAGCGGAGCTTCTGAGGGGAGCTTGGCTCCTCCATGGCTGTTTGTGGAGTTTTCAAAGGTTTTGCCCGAGATTCCAAAAGGGCTTCCGCTAAGCCCACGATACGCCAAGATATGCTTGCACTATTCCGGGTTGTGATAGAGCTTTCCACCGCAAGGCTCTCTTGGACCGACACCAACAGCGGCAGTGAGTTCGATCCTTGCCCGTGAAAGCAAAAAAAATCACATGTCGTCGGTGCGCTGACTCTATACAGCGAACTGGACGAAGAGAAGTCACCGAGAAGCCGCAGAACGTCTGCAGGCTCCCTGGATGGAAGTGCTCGTCTCGGGCTGCACCCCTCCGTCATGAGCTACAGCACCCCTTCGACAACACCAAACTTATCCATGACACCAAACATGGCCCCTAACATGTCAGCGTTCCTCGGGAGTCCCGGCAGCGCCAGCAAGTCTATGTCTCCGGGAATGGGTGGTGGCAGTGAGAACTACCCATCCGCATCTGGCAGCCATGGATACAGCAATGACTATCAGCTGTCATCGCATTCGCCCCAGCAGCTGCCGCTGCTTCAAGACGGAACGGCAAGTGGCTTCAACACACCAGCCTCTATGATTGTACCCACCTTCTCCTCCATCGACTACAGCCAGCCCCGCACGAACACAACCTACTCCGAGCTATACCTTCAGACCCAGGGCCTCCCGAGTCAGCAGACACCAGCAATGGACGCGCCCCCAGAGCTTTCGCATCCCCACGACACATCTAACTGGCCCTCCTCTGCCAGTGACAGTCCCTTCTCCACACCTTCTGAGAGGTCTCGTCGCGGTCCATGGACTGATGCCCAGCGCTCATCCAGTGTGGACTGGCAGGGCACCAACCTTCTCTCTCCGTATCTCTCACATGAACATTCAAGCCCTCCACCCGGTTTTGACGCTTTGCCTGCGAGCGGACCCATCTACTTTCCTTTCTCACCTTCGCCCCAGCTCGGGTCTGGGCCAGTCTTTGTGCCGTCGCTCGATGCGCCTTTGACCAACTACCCGGATGATCAGACGTTGTTGGACCCCCATCAGCAGCATCTTTTCCCCAACAGTGTTGGTAATCCAGTCCCAGTGCGAGCTCTGGCCCAGGCTCAAAGTTCTGAAATTCTAGTCTCGCCATCGACAGCCCTCCTCTCGGATCGCATGATGAACTCGCTCGCATGCGTGGGACGCCAGAAGGAGGTGGCTGTCGGCCTCATGGCTGCGCCCATCCTGTCGCCGAGCTCTCTAGCGCCTCCGCCTGCAAGTGCGTACAGGGCGATTCCGTACTACATCGAGGTGTATTGGGACAAGTTCCACCACCTGTTCCCTATTGTTCACAGACGCACATTTGAGGAGGCATTAGAGCAATGCGACCTGCTGCGATGCGCCATGGCTGCCGTGGCCACGCAGTATCTCACCAGCAAGGAGGATCGAATCAGGGGCAATC